AAAACAACTCACATCTGAGTTCCTCGTTGTATGAAGGGACAACCACGGACAGATCCAGTGATGGAGGGTCCATCAGACTGGGAAAAGACTCCTCCTTGCCATCTGCAGTCAAGAAGTGTTTCTCCTTCTCATGGCGAGTCTGATCTACCATGTTAGCACTGACATGTAGCACGACAACAACCTAAAGACAAGAACAGGTGTGACACAAGGGAGTAGCTAACTTGTTAAACTGGATGAATCGGTGAAGCTCAACAAAAGTGTCACTATATATATATGCACAAGTATTTCAAAAACACCTTTCTTTCATTCATTACAATGCATTACATTCTTGTTTTACAAAATAAAACAAAAACAAACAAGAGCAAACAAACTAGCCTCATAAAACCTCCACATTTTAATATAAAGATGTATGAAAACATTAAAAATGCTAATGATAAATGATATAAATATACCAATAGTAAGACGATCAGCGCCAGGGTCAGCGAATACTGCAATAAGTCAACACAAGGGAGTAGCTAACTTGTTCAACTGGATGAATCGGTGAAGCTCAACAAAAGTGTCACTATATATATATGCACAAGCATTTCAAAAACACCTTTCTTTCATTCATTACAATGCATTACATTCTTGTTTTACAAAATAAAACAAAAACAAACAAGAGCAAACAAACTAGCCTCATAAAACCTCCACATTTTAATATAAAGATGTATGAAAACATTAAAAATGCTAATGATAAATGATATAAATATACCAATAGTAAGACGATCAGCGCCAGGGTCAGCGAATACTGCAATAAGTCATATAAAGAGAAATCCATCATCCACATTCCAGTGAACATTGCACTGCAGGGAAGCTGTCACCAGTGTATAACCTTAGCTAAACTACCCCACTGAAGCATACAGAGCAGCCTTAAAACGAGCCTTCCGGCGACATATATGAATGGGTATCGTACTAAATTACGGAATAAATAGTTAAATCTCCATTGTCGAACTTTACTTCCAGTCACAGAGAAACACCTACGCGGAAGTCGTCCCCACAAACCACATCATCACAGCGGGCGAAGAACACGCAGCTCGGCGGAGCGCCGGATGAGAAACGACACTAGCGCCTCACACTGGAGCGGAGGACGCGCGAGCCGCACCTCTACCTCACTGCAGTCTTCACGTGGTGCTTCTAAACATCATGGCGGCTGGTTTCAAGTGAGTGAGCTACTACACAGCATGAATTACGTGTAGATTGTTTCTGAATTATTTCATATAATAACGTCTTCTTGATTGTGAGATAACGACTTTGTTGTATTATCTAATGTAAATAATGAGACATGAATTGTTTTGTTTTTTTAGAACCGCAGAGCCTCTAGAATATCACAGGAGCTTTTTGGTGAGTTGATCAGTTTTTGATTTCTGTTACAACACCAATCTAATAATTAAGTTATCAATTATCTTAATCTAATATTCAATAGAAAGAAAACTGTCGTTCAGATGGAAGGGAATTGGGAGAGTTCAGACCCACAACCTTAAATATTAGTAAGTATGGGATGCATATTATAATTAAAGTGATCAGAACTTTCCAAATATAGAGATGTTATTAGGTATACTTTAATGAATGTGTCCTTCTAGGCTCTATATCTACAGCTGATGGATCAGCACTGGTGAAAATTGGAAACACCACAGTGATATGTGGAATCAAAGCTGTAAGAATCATTTTTATTTTCCTAAAAATGATATGGCTGTTGATGATTATGAAGTTACAGCATTTTTTTTCTTGCAGGAGTTGACTATGCCACCATCTGATGCTCCAAATAAAGGATATATGGGTAAATTGAAATGATAATTGGAGATTTGAGAAATACTGTACGTTGGGGTGTTGAATGAAATGTAAGTCAAGTTCCTCTTTGCTCTCCAAGTCCCAAATGTAGATCTGCCTCCACTGTGCTCATCTAAGTTCAGACCCGGGCCACCAGGAGAACAGGCTCAGGCGGCCAGCCAGTTTATCGCAGATGTCATTGAAAGGTACACTCACATTTTTCTGTTAAAGCAGTGATTTTTTTTGACAAAAAGAAAAAAAAAATCACATTTTTTAACAAGACTGCAAATAATGTTGGCATGAAATTCCAGTTTTAGTACTTGTTTATTTTTTCTGCCTTTTAGTTCAGATTTAATAAATATGGAGGAATTGTGCATTGAAAAATCTAAGGTAAGATATAGTAGATAAATATATATTTATACATGACTTCTCATCAAATTGCGCTTTTCAAATCCTTTGCATTTCTTTTATAACTGATTTTTCTAGCTTTGTTGGGTGCTGTACTGTGATATTATGTGTTTGGATTATGACGGGAACTTACTTGACGCCTGCATCATAGTTCTGCTAGCAGCTTTAAAGAACGGTGAGAGCTTCTCCTGAATATAACATTTCCTCTTGCTGTTAAGATGACTAATAAACACATTTCATATTTCTCAGCACAACTCTCTGAAGTCACAATAAACAAAGAGACAGATTTAGCAGAAGTTGACATCCAGAAGAAGAAGCCCTTGAAGATCAACCGGCTTCCAGTTGGTTCATCGTTTGCAGTGTTTGATGAGTAATTGACAACTTATTTCTCTCTTACACAACTGCAGTGTAGGCTGGCATTAAAACACGATTTACTTTAGAAAGAAAACACTGGTCTCAAGATCAATACAGAGTTCTGTAGAAATGACAAGAATGAGTTCACAGACACAATCTTTTCTATTTTCGCATTATACAGCTCTATTATCATAGTCGACCCCACAGCAGAAGAAGAAAGCTTGTCAACGGCATTACTGACTGTGGTAACAGACGAGGAGGATCGACTCTGTGCCGTCCACAAACCAGGTGAACATTAAGACGTGTGACAAATTGCAGGTTATTTACAGCATCAGGAATGCAAACTCATCGGTGTGAAAACTGAGAAAGAGATTTTTTTATATCTGCTTTACAATATGGATTTACAGTCGATTTTAGCATGAGGATATAAACATGGACCCTGGTATGTTTTATTGAGTTTTTATTAGTGCTGTCAAACGATTAATCGCAATTAATTGCATCCAAAATAAAAGTTTTTTTTTACATTTTATATGTGTGTATTGTGTATATTTATTATGTATATATAAATACACACACAGCATATATTTTGAAACTATTTACATGTATATATTTATATCATATATAAATATATTTAATATATAAACGTAACATTTTTCTTAAATATACATGCGTGTATTTATATATACATAATAAATATACAAAGTACACACATATTATGTAAACAAATTTTGTTATTTTGGATGCGATTAATCGCTTGACAGCACTGGTTTTTATTACAATGTAAGAAGTAAATGAATCAATAGTTGGCGCAGACAGCCTTGTGGGTAGTGCGCCATTGTGCTATGGGCGTCCCGAGTTCGAATTCCAGCTCGAGGACCTTTCCCGATCCTGCCCCCTTCTCTCTCTCTCTCTCTCTCTCTCCCACTTCGCTTCCTTTCTTCTCTACACTGTCTTATCATAATGAAGTCAAAAATGCCAAAAATAAATCTAAAAAAACAATAAAGAACCATATATTGCTAATACTATTGCACTTTAAAATAATATAAACATTTTATAATAATAGTAGTATTTAATAATACTTTTATTTTACATAACAGTAAAAGTACAATACTAATATACATCACTCTGCATATTTCTTTGCTTTAAATCATTCAACTTTAAGGTTTATTTTGCTTTAATTTTGGTGGAAATTTACAGGGAGACTTTAAAGTTTCTTTTTTGTTGACAAAAGAGTAGTGCTGTCAAACGATTAATCGCATCCAAAAAGGTTTTGGTTTACATAATATATGTATGTACTGTGTATATTTTTTATGTATATGTACCGTAAATACACACACATACGGTATATATTTTGAAAATATTTACATGTCTTTATATTCTTATATTTTATATTATATATATATATATTTAATATATAAACATAACATTTTTCGTAAATATATGCATGCATGTGTTTGTATTTATATATACTTAATAAATATACACAGTATACATACATATTATGTAAACAAAAACTTATTTTGGATGCGATTAATCGCGATTAATCGTTTGACAGCACGACAAAAGAGTCAAATGCTCTTTACAAATTTCAAAAACCTATTAGATCTATACAAATCATACAAATGAGTTGTTTTGAATCCAAAAATGGTGATTTCTATGCATCCCTGAGCATCTACAGATTGTATTTTTGTGGTCTGCAGATTTGATTGAATATTTTTTGTAGATCTAAAAACAAATGTTCCATTTTGTTTTAGGTGGGACGTCGTTATCTGGTGAGAAACTGCAACACTGCATAAATCGAGCCATTACGAGAAACAAAGAAATCAGCAAACTGGTGGGCAAAGTCATTGAGAGCACGAAGACGGCGAAATAAACACACACACAGTCATGACATTTTTATCTAAAAGATGTATTTTTTCACTGTCAATATATACTTTCTTTTTTTTATCACAATAAAACTGCCGACAAAGACCATTTACAAAAACTATGCCTCAGTGTTCAGAAATGTCGTCCATTCACATGGTTTAGATTTTTTTTCTCCATAAGAATATACATAAACTCCCCCTCAGTATAACAAAATGCCATTTTAAAATGTGCCGTATAAAAACCGCACATGTAATTGCATGCTGGGACAAGGCGGCCTATCACTCTGACATCCAGCAGTAGAGAGAAGTTCTCGTAACGGTAAAGTTGAGCAACAGGTGATTGAGGCACATCTGTACGGCCCTTATTAGTGTGCGTAGGGTCCACCCTCTCAAGCCAAACAGGCTCTCGTTGAAAGGGCCATTTGGAAGGAGAATAAAGACAGCATGCCGTAGAGAACCCTACAAGAATTGTCTCATTTAATATCTTGTATTTTTTTAAGAAATACGGTAATACTCTAAGGTCCCCTGCTCTAAAAATCCTTGCAGTATCTATCCATCTGTCCTGAGGTCAGGAGGGCAATTCCTGCACCCCTATGAACATAAAAAAAACAACTTTAGTCCGGTCAAGCCGCAGTCAGTCCGTACAATGCTGGCGATCGAGCACAGTGCCGTTTGCTGCGGTCTGGCTGGAGGTCATGATTTGGGGAGGGGCTGTGGCGTGCTGCGTTTCCTCTTACTTTTTGGCTGGTTGGCGGAATGTTGCCGTGGCAGCGCCGCCTGTGCTGCCGCCCCCACTGCCATACCCATTTGCTGCTGTTGCATTTGGTGCTGCAAGAATTGCAACTGTGAAAGGGAAAAGTAACGGATAATGAATATGTGCAGTCTACTCTCACAGCAGCTGTGCCTCAGAAGCATCTCTTCCACTTAGCAATGGAGATAAATGTTATGTAAACAAACGGACACATTCAGCTCTGATCATTGGATTAGTTGGTTTTAGTGTATCCCGTCCTCCATTGGTTCTTGTAATCGATTTATACAAATGTAGCCAAGTGGGAAAACCAGTCAAACGATTTCCCACTTTAGGCTGTATTTGTTTCTCATGATTTAAAAAAAAATAATACAATTTTGAATGATGCTTAATGTGGAAAAAAATACTTCATATTTAAATAATATAAGTTAAATTTGTTTCAAAGACATACACTACTGCTAAAAAGTTTGAGGTTGGTAAAAATTTTTGGAAAGAAATTTATACTTTTATTTAGGAAGGACAATTTAAATTGATCAAAACTGATAGTAAAGACATTTATGATGTTTCAAAGGATTTCCATTGCAAATGCTGTTCTTTTGAACTTTATAAATTCTAATATATATATATATATATATATATATTAGTGCTGTCAAATGATTAATCGCATCCAAAATAAAAGTTTTTGTTTACATAATATGTGTGTGTACTGTATATTTATTATGTATATAGATATATACACTCACATACAGCATATATTTTGTAAATATTTACATGCATATACATTTATATATTTATATTCTTATATTTCATATTATATATAAATATATTTAATATATAAACATTTTTCTTAAATATATACATGCATGTGTTTGTATTTATATATACATAATAAATTACACAGCAAACACATTATGTAAACAAAAACTTTTATTTTGGATGCGATTAATCAGCACTAATATATATATATATATAAAAATCAGAAATTATTCGGCATATTAGAATGATTTCTGAAGGATCATGTGACACTGAAGACTGGAGTAATGATGCTGAAAATTCAGCTATACCATCATAGTAATAATTTTTTTTAATAACATTTCACAATATTACTGTTTTATTGTATTTTTGATCAAATAAATGTAGCCTTGGTAACCATAAGACATTTTTTAAAAACATAAAAATCTTACCAACCTCAAACTTAATGTCTACATATGAACTTTGCTTTACTACTTTATATTATTCTAAACTTTGAGATGCACTGATATTAAAATTCTGCTCGATAAACCAATAATTATTGTCATGTTCTTGCTAGATAACCGATAATTGGCAGATATTAAAATTCAAAACTATTTTCTATAAAATAAAACACACTCTCTCGCTCTCTCTATATATATACACTTGTTTATACTTGTTATTTGTGTGTACTTTTTGCTTTGTTTTCTTTTGATTCTTCTATATTTGTTCATATTTGTTTATACTAGTTGAACCATTTAGAGTTTTGATTATTTTATATTGATATTGAATTCTTAATATGCGTTTTATGCTTGTGAAGTTGCATTCCATGTATGAAAAGTGCTATATAAATAAATAAATTATTATTATTATTATTATAAACATAAATCATTTTAAATGCTACAAGTGAATTTAGGCATCATTTTGAGATTTACTAAATATATTTAACAGTGCTACTAAATTATTAGTGTTTTCAAATATGAACTTTGAGTGTTAGATGACGGCAAAGGTCATATAAAAATAGGGTAAATGAGTTGCTAAATTAAATATACAATATCGACTGATATACTGATAAATTACAATTTATCAGTATCTACAATTTTCCCGACAATTTGGAAAATACCTTTAACTAGTATTGTACACTGTATAGATAAATATTTCTCGTATGTATTACATGTTTTTGTCGCCTCTCCCACTGGCTCTGATAATGGAAGAGTTTTGACTGAAGCAGAGCTGCTGAAAGGAAACCACCTTTCATTAACACTGCAGTGAAAAGGGATGCAACACGCTGGACAAATATCAACGGTGTTTGCAGAAGCTGTGTGAGGCTGAAAGAGGGAGGAATGGAAGACTCGAGGGTAATTGATGGGAACAACATACTGTGAGGAACAGAAGAGGATCAAGCAGGGGCGGTGGATAGAAGGTGGTCAAATTAAAAGCGCAATGCAGCTGCTGTTTGTCAGTTATCTTCTATTACACACACACACACACATTGCCATGCTCTCGTCTGGTGTCAGTAAGACAGCAACTTCAACTCGCATCTCAGCTGGGGCTAATGCAAGAGTTGGGCTGTTACTGGGGTCAGATGCAGGACAGGAGAGTGGGTTGATCAGTGTGAGCTGTGCGTGATGATGGAGAAAACAGCACGAATGTCTCATGCTCATAAATGAAATAAAATCTGATGAATCTCCTTAAAAATAAGACATTCCTGAAGTTTTGGAGATTTTGTCTCAATTGCTTCTCAAGCAGCTGTTAAGAGATAAGCTGATGCCACATGATGCTTATTTGAAAAATGTTGGTAAAGGCTTAGACAGAAAAATGATAACTCAAAACATGGCAAGAGGCGAATCCATGTGAAGCTTTACATGTCGGTCAGAAGTAGCCAGAAAAGAAGCTATTGATGTGATTCTTATGAACAACAGTGTTTAGCTGTGTAGTGTGGAACATTTCATCTAAAGAGTGAATGCATAGATGTCATATAACAGACTGATCACACTGATCGTTCACCAGACCTTTGAATTTAAAATGTAAATCTTGATACAAAAAATAGGTATGATTTAGGACTATCAATCTGTTTAAAAGTTTGGGTTCAGTAAAATGACTTTTTTTTTTTTAATTAAATTAATACTTTTAGTTGGCAAGAATGCATTAAATTGATCAAAAGTGACAGTAAAGACATTTATAATGTTGTTATCACTTATAAAAATGTCTTTCCCCAAAAATATTAAGCAGCACACTGAAGACTGGAGTGATGATGCTGAAAATTCAGTTTTGGTCACAGGAATAAATTACATTTTTAACATATACATTTTAAAATATACTCAAAACAGAAAAGTTATTTTAATTGTAATAATTCACATTACTACATTTTACTGTATTTTTTATCAAATAAATGCACTTTGTAAACATTAGACATCTTTCAAAAGCTTTTAAAAAATACAGAGCCCAAACTTTTGTAAAAAAAAAAACAAAAAAGTATATATATATATATATATATATATATGTATATATTATTTTTTTATTTATTTTTTTATTATTTTAGTTCATGCTTATTTCAAGCAACAATTAATTTATTCCTTTTTTTTGTTTATATATATATATATATTATAATTCCTAACAACACATGGCTTCTCATGGCTTACTGCTTTATTTCGAAATGTTAACTCTTGATTCAAGTAGTACAAGAAAAGAAAAGTCTCTTGAAAAACTGCCCGAGACGACGCATGCAGTCAGCGAGTGGAACCAGCAGCACACAGACACTGCTAGTGAAGCGTTCAGAGCTGTCATAAAAGGTAGAACGTAGCAGAAAGAGGAAAAGTGGCATCCACCATCATGTTAATCAAATGACAAACCCAGATAATCAAAAAACAGGTCTGATTAACTTCGACTGATCTATGTTGAGATTAGTATGACACACTACTAAATCTAAATCCATTAGTATTGTCTACTCATTGTGTTAGTGTCTGTTAGAGATATCTGGACTAGAGATGTACTTGAATAACAGTGAGAGGAGTGGCAGACAAATGAAACGCATGTGTCCAGTGCATGAGCCCGTACCTGCTGCCTGAGGAGACATGAATCCCCCCACTCCGGTGAGATTGATGACCGCCGTCTGTTGTGCGGACAGACCCTGTTCTGCCGTCAGACCCAGATCAGCCTGATTCAAAGAGGACAACTGAATTAACTTCAGAACACACACACACTTATACACACACACACACATATATATTTTTTTCTTTTTCTTTGGTGTAGCATGAAACTAAAGAATATTTGTGAGATTGCCAATGTCAAATTGCATTAAATAAAAAACTTTAAGGGATAGTTCACCCAAAAATGAAAATTTTGTCAACCTTTATTCACCCTTATGTCATTCCAAACCTATACAAGTTTCTTTCTTATGTTGAACATTGAATATTTCAAAGAATGCTGCTAATCAAACAGCTGAAGGTCCCCATTGACTTCTATAGTATTTATTTCCCTACTATGGAAGTCAATGGGGAACAACAACTGTTTGTTTCTTCAAAATATCTTCTTTTGTGTTCAACATAAGAAAGAAACTCCTACAGGTTTGGAATGACACGAG